ATATACTAGTTTACACAAATTTTTAAATATATAAATATTTTATAGAAAATGTTGAAGATTAAAATGGCTTAAACATATGTTTCTCTTGTAAAGATAATTAACTACTAGAGTAGTCTCCTACTCGCTTCACTCTACTATTACCTACAGTTTTCTGAATAATACAGTATTAGATACTTTAAGATTTTATTCTAGCTTAATACAAATGGCTTTTAAATTAAGTTCAAAACCATATTTATCGTGCATATTCTGTAAAACCTTAGATTTACATATCCTCCAATATTACTAATAAACCACAATTTGAACAAATAATTCTTAGAATTGTTCGATACACGCAAATTAAAATTCTAGTTTCTAGTGTTAGAAAATACAAAAGTTTTAAGCAATTTATTCCACCAAAAAAGAAGAGAGTGTGTGAGAGAGAGAGAATGTAAAAAAAAAAAGAAGCAATACAGTAGCAGATTAAGTAAAAATAAAGAGAGAGAATTCCAGGGTTAAAAAAAATTAGGTTACATCAATGGGCATTAAAACACAAGTAGCATAATAGTGGGCTAACTTGAAAAATTAAAAAAAAAATTATGTACATATCCCCCAAATTATTAAGCAACCAACATAAACTAATAAGCATAACTAAAAATTAAAAAAAAACTCTCAGCATAGATTGTTTGTCTACATAAACAGTTGGATTTTAACTTCTCATTTCTGCACAATTTATAACTTAGTTTCTCTGAGTTTTTTTTATTGAACATTAGAATAGAAATTCCATCCATTTTGTGACCACATAATAGCATCTTGTACAAAATCGACAATTCGATTGTTTAAACAATTCATTCTTGTATAAAATAGATAATTTTAACATTCCTAATTCCTAGAACATTTCTTTTTAATATCTCCAGTAAACTTAAAAATTTTTCTTTTTCTGTTCCCCCTGACACTAAAATTTTTATTTTTTTTGCCTCCAAAAAATGGATGCGTCATTCATGTTGTTATTAGTTTTAGTTCATATAGTAATAATTAAACATGGAACAAATAATCTACAAAAAGCTTAAAAACTAATAATATTATAATTATGTTCAAGATAAATTATCAAACAAATATTCTTTTTTAACATTTCTCAATATCAGTAATTTCAAAACTAAATGTAAAATGCATACATGTTGTAATTAAAAATTAAATGTAAAATACATACATGTTGTTGCTTCATTTATGTTGTAATTAGGTTTTAGTTCATATAGAAATAATTAAAATTTTATGAAATCGAAACTAAAACAATTTAAACTTCTTATAATTATTAGGCTTTTAAATTATTTTTAACTTGTAATAAAAAAAAATTTGAGCATTTCATATAAGACTTAATTACATTAAAAAAAAGAAAATAAATAAAAATAAATTTTAAAATTTTTAAAAATGTCACCAAAAATGCAATATTCAGTAAATATCAATTATTTCAAAATTAAATGTAAAATGCATACTTAATCTTGGGAAAAATTTCATCATTTTCATCTAAAAATACAAACGGGTCTTCTTTATATCCCCATACTTTTCTTTTCTTTTGAGGTGGACTTCTAAATTTGGAAGAAAAAAAAATTATACACAAAAAAATTAAGTTAAACTCAACTTTTCTTCAGAGAAACGTTTAACTATAACACAAATAAATACTATAATGATTAGTAAAAAACATAAGTGAAAATATACCAGGGCTGACTATTTGATGTATAGACACTCTGAAAAAGTAAAGTAATTAGCAGAAAAAGGAACAAAAAAAAGTCAACAAATTTTGAAAAGACAAAAATTCAGAAAGATTAATAAAAATCTAAATCTCAATTTTAAACTACCTTTGTAAGCGCATGAAAAAAATTCATTTATGATAAAATATTTATTACTTATCACCAAGTAATTGAATTTTTTTTAAAATACAAAGAATATTTCAATTTTAATAAATGTTGAAATTCATTATTATGTTTCAGCAAAACGTTTAACTGCTAAAAATTTTAATTTTACAATATAAATAGAAAATACGTTCAAAGTTTTTGTGTTCTTAGCAATCAAATTAATACTGCTTTGATCCCACATTTCATGCTACTGATTGAGATTTAAAAAAATTTGCATTCTGTTAAATTATGTTTGAAAATTTCAAAACTCAACTTTTGCTAACATTTCTGTACAACACTCCTTTTGATTACTGAACAACCCTATCTGGAATCTACATGATTCAACGATTTGTGAATATACAAATTTTTGAATATGCATATTTAAATATAATTAATAAAAATGGAGTTAGAAGACTGTCTCTATAAAATTGTTCCCAATCTATGATCTAGAAATTATACTCTTGTGTTCATGAACTCTTAGCAACCACACTTTAAACGACAAAAATAACATCCTGTATTGTTGTTGACAGTTTAATTACAGTCAAAAATAACATCCTGTAATGTTGTTGACAGTTCAATTAGTGCATTAAAATTTGAATACTGCATTAAAATTTGAAGTTAATGAGTTTTTTGCTAATACATCAGCAATATGCAAGTCTTTATCATTTCATCGTATAATTATCAATTAAATGCTTTACTCATTAATTGTATTACAACAAAGAGAAAAATGAAATAAATAATTTAAACATACTTTTCTTCACAGGAGACACCATTTTCTAAAATAAAAAACAAAAATTTAGAAATAAAATTTAAACTTAAAAGTTAAAAGAAATTTGGAATTGAAATGAACTACTGATTATACCAGATGATTTTTCCCATGGAAGTTTGTCCTTCTTTTCAAGTACAGCTACAAAAAAACCACCAGTGTCCTGATGATGAGGCAGGATTCTTATGCTTAAAAAATAAATAATCTATCAATACTACATAACAACAATACACCCATCATTAAATTAAACACCACATTTACCCACAGAGCTTTTGTAACATTAGAATATAAAACCAACATAATATATGTTCTCATCTATTCTAATACTGTATATGTCTATTTTAATACTGCATATATTGCTATTATATTGAATATATATATAAATGCTGCAATAAATTGTTGATATATTAGTATAAATGTTTATATATAATTGTTAGCCTATTGATATTGTTAGCCATTAAATATTAAGAATGCTATATAGATTGACACAGATTTAATCCAGGTAGTACAAATGTTATGATTCTCTCTTTTTTTACAATGTTTCTTTATGGTTTACAACATTTAACAATATAGCAAAAGAAAAAAAAAAACAATATATTAAAAACAATATATTAAAAACAATATATTAAAACAATATATTGGCATTCTTCTCCCACTTCTACCACAGTGATCACTACTACACTTAGACCACCTAGAAAGCTTTATCTTTAGTTGTTTCAGTGTAGTAGCCATAAAAGTTTCAAGATTTGTTTTTCTGTGAAATGACTAAAATGAAATGAAGCATTTTCTATCGGCCTTTTTGACTGTTTTATGTGCGGAATTGTTTAAAGAAACTCTTGTGAAACAGTGAGGTGGTTCTTTCAGTGAAACAGTCATATTGTGAAATATTTGAATTCTTGCTGAGCAGCCTAGTGCAGTTATCAATAAACTTTTGAAATGATGATTTTATCTGAAAAAAAATCATGATGATTTTATTTTAGATAAAATTAACACAGTGTTTTCACTACAGAGCGAGAACGCGAGAATCTCGCATATTTTTTTTCTTTTCTCGCAATAAAAAATGATAAACGCGAGAAGTTCGCGCACTCTATTAATCAATTTCAATCAAGTTGTGGAAAAAATTTCGTCTTTTGCCATTTTGAATGAAATCCGTTTCACTTTTCTTCCTAGATCTTTCATTATTTTGAACATCGGTCTTTGTTATCTAGCTTCCCTATTTACCAGTATTGTTCAGAACCGGTGAGAACAGCAGAACACCCCCCCCCCTCCCCGAACCACGGAACCCCATTCAGAGCACATTTCTCTGCAACCACGTGTTCACTGTAGTTAAAGTTACTTCATGTAAGACGTTTACATTTTTCGTGCATGAATGTAAGATGAACAAATACCTTGTTAAGGCGACATCTTCTACTCCGTTGCGGGCAAATGAAAATGAAACAAATGTTTAGTAGAAACGGTCAAAACGAAACAAATACGGATATTTTTCAACCAAATAAATATAATAGCTGTTGAAAAAGCAGATATAGAACATTTTCCATATGATGATGCAGCAAAAATATTCAATTAGAAGACGTTAAAACTGTATTATAATTAAAGAAATAATTTTTTTTCCAAGTCTATTCGTGTTTTTTTAATTTTTAGAAATCTCACTTAACTTTTTGAAATCTCACCCTGTTTCTGAGAAAGGGTGAGAAACTCTCTCCCATTTTTTTTTCTGTAATGAAAACACTGTTAACAATTTATATTTTACGAATGACGAAGTTTAAACAAATGAGATAATGAAGAAAAATTAGTAAAAAAAATTGAAAAAACATGACAATCAAAGCTGACGTCATCAGGGGGTGTAGCATTTTATGACAATTCAAAGCTGGTCAGCTTTGATTGTCATGTTTTTTCAATTTTTTTTACTGATTTTTCTTCATTGTCTCATTTGTTTAATTTCTCTTAGTTTCTCTGCTGCTAAGCACATTTTTCCATTTGGATGTTTTATTTTTAGTAATTATTAATTTTATTAATTTTTTGCATTAATATTTTGAATTCTATTCTTAATTGACGAAGTTTAATTTATTATAGTCAAGTTTTATTAATTATGCTTATTTAAATTTTGTTTATATTTATACTCATTCAAAGTTTAAATTCAAATAACTGACTTTATAAATATCTTTTGACATGGGTAATAATATATCTAAAATACTGGTTTAATTTGTAAAAAATTATAAGTACTTATTATAATTCTAGTTTTTTTTTTTAACTTGTGTGCTATTTTACTGATAATATTCATACAAAAAGCTATGTAAACATACATCTGGGAACTATGCTAACTTACCCATACATGGGGTAAGATGACCAAGTTGGAACAGTTTTGAAATAATATATCTATAAAATCAACATTAAATTTTAAATATCTGTTATCATTAATTTGATATCAAGCAGTTTACCAAGCAGCAACATAAGTTATATTTGGCATAAGTATTGAAGAAAAAATAGGAAAATATAAAGTTAAAAACCATGTCAACTAGCCCCTCTTCACTCTTTATTTCATATTTAATATACTTTTAAGAAGACATCAAATTTCTTTAGAGATTACAACCCAGAATTGTAATAAAATTAAGTCCCCGAAAATTCTCAATTCAAACAAACAGATTATGGCTATCCCAAAATAACAGTTGTAATATAACTTACCAGTGTTCAAGATGCAAGTCTTTTATTATTTCTGCAGATGGAGGGAACATATGAGGACGGATATGAGTCAAGTTCTTTTCTGG